TATAAATATAATATATACATGCATATATATATATATACCACATTTTCTTTATCCATTCTTCCATCTGTGGACATTTGGGCTCTTTCCTTACTTCGGCTATTGTCGATAGTGCGCACTGGAGTGTGCGTGTCCCTTTGAAACAGCACACCTGTATCCCTTGGATAAACGCCTAGTAGTGCAATTGCTGGGTCATAGGGTAGTTCTATTTTTAGTTTTTTGAGGCACCCCATACTGTTTTCCAGAGTGGCTGCCCCAGTTTGCATGCCCACCAGCAGGGTAAAAGAGATCCTCTTTCTCCTCATCCTCGCCAACGTCTGTTGGCAACATCTGTTACCTGAGTTATGCTTCAATTTATGTTGTAAGAATTAAAACACTTAAGTTTCTAATTTATGCAATATAGGTAAAGTACCTGGAACATAGCAAATGCTATGTAACTTTTGGTTGTTGATTTTAGTCCTGTTGGTACTACTCATGTATTGCTCTTTGAGGAAGTTCGGTGATGAAATAACGGCGAAGAAGGGCACTTGGGGGCTGGGGTGATCTGAAGATGGGGAGAGGCAGGCACACGGACTCGCGCACAGAGTGGAGGAAGTCCATGAGAAGAGAACGAAGGACAAGGAGAGTGATTCTGAGTACAAGCCTGCAGTACTAATGTGGCATCAGCTGCGGGCTTTAATAAGTAACTCCCTTTCACTTGCAAAAGCTAATTAAGTAATTTCTGGAGGCCAGAAGTGACTTGGGCTGGATTTAATGACAGCCCCTCCACAGTACAAAACGTTCAAATCCTTTGTCTGTGTTACAATCCCAAACCTAAAAGGAAGAAAAGACCAAACATACCTACCTCCTAGATACACAGTATCCAATCTCGCTGAAGTGACACTTCCCGGTATTTATTTGAACGGTCTGCTCTCAGCTTCAGCCACGCAAAAGTCCTGTGAACGTTAGTGTGAAATGGAACGATGTTACCAGAGTTCTGGCCGATTGTTACAGACTCAGGGAATTTTCATCAAAAACAGAAACCTGAGAAAATGTAAATAACTGTGTAACTTGCAGGGATTAGTGCCCTGCTGGGTGACTTTTCTCACAAGGGTGGAAATTGTAAAAGACTTCATAAGAATTAGAATGCTCCATGTGACAATTTATTTTAGCTCCTAGCTTTTCTTTCCAGGGGGCAAATCAGCGCAACTTCTTTCAGCCTTTGTTTCATTTGGGTCACAAGCCGCAATTTTCAGACAGGCTTCACCTAGCTACCCTATCTGAGACAAGGAGGTTGCCACCTCATTGAAAGGGTAGGTAGATGGAGGCAGATTTTTTGATAACTTCTAGTAAAAACCAAATCAACAGCTGATCGAGCTAAGCAGAGCAGGTTGGATCGATTGTGCGGTCTCAGCAGTTGGAGGCTCAGGAGGGCAGGGCATCCGCAGAATAAGGCTAGCTGGTTCACTGTGTGCCCCTAGAACACAGGGCAGGGTGGACCAGCAGAACACCCGTGAACTTTAACATCCATATTGCCGCTACGCCACGCACATGAGGAACTGTTGTACTCTATCAACCTACTCACCCATATCGTTTCTAAATGATGATGACTTTCAAAGGTACAACCGCAACACCATTAACACAAACAACAAAATCAATGATAGTTACGTAATATTATCTAATACCCAGTCCGTGTTCAATTTTCTCCGGTTATCTCAAAAGTGACTTTTATAAAGTGTTTGTTCAAATCACAAACAATATCCATACATTGTATTTAGCAACAAGTCTCTGAAGTCTCCCTTAATCTAGAACAGTCCCAGGAGTTTTCTGTCTTTATCTATCTACTATTTAGGTTTTCACTGAATAGAAAAGGCTTCCAAAGAAGTAAAAAAGCAACAAATCCAAGAGTTTCATAATGAAATATCCCTCAGTCTCTTTCTCCAGAAGCAATGTTACCAGTTTCATGTGTAGCCTTCTAGAAATAGTGTGGATAAGCATGCCTGGCCCTGAAGCTACTGTAGCATGGTGACTGACAGTGACGACAAGAGTTTGAATCTCCACCACTTACTAAGTATAAATCTTGGGTATGTTACCACACCCCTGAGCTCTAGTTTTCTCCTGTGGCAGGTGGGATGTTAAAAGAACTAAATCAGATAAGCACTTAAATTATTTGTTATTATGTACATTCCCCTTTGGCTTTTTCCCAAATGATAGAATGGTGCACACTTCTATTTGTTTGTTTTTTCCATCTAACATACTTTGATAATAACTCCATATCTGTCCTTTTTTAAATTGAGAGAGAGAGAGAGAGAGAGAGAGAGAGAGAGAGAGAGAGCATGTGCAAGCAGGGCAAGGGAAGAGGGAGAGAATCTCAAGCAGGTTCCACATTCAGCACAGAGCCCAATGCAGGGCTTGATCCCACGACCCTGGTATCATGCCCTGAGCCAAAATCAAGAGTCGGACCCTCAACCAGCTGAGCCACCCAGGCACCCCCATACCTGTCCTTATAGATTCACATCATTGTTTGGACCATTTTCTTCCCTTGGCTTCTCTGCCATCCCATCCATGGATTTGTTCCTAAGTCACAAGCTCTCTTTCTCCGTCTCCTTGGCTGATTTCTCCTCTCTCCTGTGCAGGGAAATGTAGGGGAGTCCCAGGGCCCTCCCCTTCTCTAACTACAGTTTCTCTGCAGGTGATAGCCATTCCTCCAGTTTTAAATACCAGGGTGAGGCCGTGGAGGCCCCTAGTCATAAAATTTAAGGAGACATTCACTCTCAGGCTCATGAAAGTGCAGGGTTAGCCCCGGAGAGTGATTATCCCCTTAAATTGCATGCCCTAAGCACTTTGCTTCCTCCCCCTTGGTTCCACCTCCCTAAATACCTCCACCTTCTCCCCAGACCTCCAGACACATGAATCCTATTTGGCACCTCTAATTGCATATTTTAAACAGGACTTCTGCCTTATTTCCCACTCCCATGCCCAAACCCACACCTCCTCCTTGTCTATGTCAGTTAATAGCATCACCATTTATTCCGCTGCTTATCCTTGAGTCCTTCCTTTCGACAAGTCCTATCTTCTATCTCCAAGATATACTCCAAATCTGATAACCTGTCACCTCCCCCAGCTGCTATACCTTAGGCCAGCCTCCTGCCTCTTGCTACTGCGAACACTCCCTGCCCTGGAGTCTCCCTGCCTCCACGTTTGCCTCCTTTCCTCCCCCTACCCCCTTATACACACTAAGCAGCAGGCAGAGTGACATGAAGGAGATTGTGCCACTCTCCCATTTAACCCCTCTCCCCTCCCAGTGGCTTCCCAATGAATTTAGAATTAAAAGCCCACGCCTTACCATGGTCACATGGTCAGGAGACCAAGACCCAGGAGGTGCAACAATCTGGTCCCAGCCTAGCAATCTCACTTCTGCCCCCTCTTGCTTGCCAGGTTCATTGCTGCCCCAGTGGTGTTCCTTCTCCCTGGAATGTTCTTCCCCAGGTCTTATTATAGCCACTTCCTTCTCAGCATTCAGATGCCAGCTCAGGTATAACTCTGCTGACCACCCACACCCTTTCACTCAACCACTCAAAATTCCATTACCCTGTTTTCATTTCTTTCTAGCATTAGCACTACTATCTGAAAGTGTCTTATTGTTACCATTGCATAATAGCCTCCCAAAGCTCAGGGGCTTAAAACAAAAATTTATTAGTTCAGTTTGGCAGTGCTTGATTGGGTTGCAATTAAATAGCACCTGGGGCTGGAGTCATCTAGAGGTTTTTCTGGGTTGGATGTCCAAGACTCTTCCCTCCCATGTCTGGTGCTCCTCTGGGTCGCCTTTTTCTCTAGCAGAGTAACTTGGACTTCCTGCATAACAGCTCAAGCCTCCAAGAGAAAAAAAAAAAAAAAAAAAGGAACGGCTGGTCTTCTTATACAGGCTAGGCCTGGAATTGGCACGCTGTAGTTCTGCCATATTCAGGTGGTCAAAGCAGTCATAGGCCAGCCCAGGTTCAAGGGAATTGAGGAATGAATTCTACCTCTTAAAGGAGAAGTGACATGTGCGTAGAAGGAGAGAAGGAATTGATGGCGGCCATCTTTAGAGATAAGCTATCACATTTGTTTGTTCACTTGTTAATTATCTGTTTACTCCCATTAGGTTATAATCTCCATAAGACAATGGGGACCCTGCCTATCTTATTTTATGGCTCTCTTTCCAGCAGCCAGAACAATGCCTGGCACATACTAGGTGCCCAGGAAATAAGTTAAGAAAGCACTTGATAAATGTTGGGGAAACTTAAATGGGCTGCACTAAACTTCCCCAGATTGGTCTCGCCAGGTTTGCTGATGTTGAGCATACTGATGCCACATCAGATAAGAGCAACCCTACATTTATAAAGTATTTCATTTCCTCTGCAAACAAGAAAAACTTGCCCTGAACACAAAATCTAGAAATAGATTTGGCATGTTTTCTAAATGGAAAATATTTCTCGTATCACCAGAAATTATTTTCCCACAGCTTGTGCTACATGAAAATATTGAAGTTCACTGAAAATACCCCATTTTTTAATCTTGGTGTGGACTAGAAACAATTTTTTCTTTTTTGGTAGTAAAAGAAATAGAAATACTTCCTGATGTTTGAACTCCCCCAGATATTCCCAAACCAAAAATGTCATTTCAAGATAGATTAAAAAAAAAAAAAAAATGTCTACTGAGAAATGTCATTAAAAGTTTGGTCATCAACATGCACAGTTTTGGGTTGTAAAGCCAGCACTTGTTTATTCAAATAATTACATATGACCAAGGGTAGAAAAAATTCCTTCCACTCTCCTCTTTGTTGGTCTCTACTGGTGAGTTCTAGAAAATAATCCTGTGTTTAAACCTTTTTCTAAATCCCTTGTAAATTAGTAAGTGAGAATGTATTCATCAGAAGGATTTTAGTGATTTTTGAGGTTAAAAAGAAGAAGGATTTAATTTTTGAAATTACATTTGCAGACTATCACTAATGAAAGTTCTTCTAATCTTTGTTTTATCTTTAGTTTTCCCAGATTTGCTCAAAGTGATCCCCTTGAGCATCCACGTCAACGTCATTCTCTTCTCCACGATCCTGGTTGTTTTAACCATGGTGGGAACGGCCTTCTTCATGTATAATGCTTTTGGCAAGCCCTTTGAAACCCTTCATGGCCCACTAGGGTTGTATCTTTTGAGCTTCATGTCAGGTGGGTACAAAATTCTCCTTCTGAAGACAAATGTGCCTTCCAGTGTGTCAAAAGACAGGTCTACCTAAATGTAGAGTTATAGTACATATAGATGGATATCCACTGTAGTGTTATGTATGATTATGAAAGTAGACAAAAATATAATTATCCAACAATGGGAAATTTGAGATACACATTATGATACTCTGTATGAATAAATGATGGTGACATTAAATCACATTTTGAAGATGTAATCAAAAGGATGCATGCTTGTATCAAAAGTGAATAAAACAGTGTATAAGATTTTATAACTATATATAAATATGGACAATATATAGGAGTATATATATATTGCACATATACTCTCTCTAGCCTCCATACAGATACAAAGAAAGAGAGAGAGAGAGAGACCATTATATTTGCAGTAGTTACCTCTGAGTAGGGAAATTATGTGTGATTTTCACTTTCTCTCATGCCTTTTAATGTTTCCAAATGTTCAATAGTGTGTATTTATTTATTCACAATCAGAAAACCAGGAGTACCTGGGTGGCTCAGTTGGTTGAGTGTCTGACTCTTGATCTCAGCTCGGGTCTTGATCTCAGGTCATAATCAGAAAAATAAATACAAATCATGCAAAAGAAGTGAAGGGCCAGTGTTCTGCCCACATGAGTTGTAATATTCAAGCCTTTAGGTACTTTATGTAGCCTAACGATGTATGTATCTGGGAAAAAAATAAACTCTAAACTCAGCAATCAGTTCATCAATAAACATGTCCTACTCAATAACCAAGGCGGATGGAAAAGAATACAAACTCAAGGTAGTGCCTCAGGGTGTTTAGGATATAGTTACAAGGAGAAGAGAAAGATGAGAAAATAAAAAATGTATACATAACTCGTATGTAGCGTTTCTATGGAAGGCCTCTCATTTCACCACATTTCAGACTTGCAAAAAGACGTAGTACTTTGTCATAGTCCCAGGAAGCATCCATAGTTCTGTTAATGATTCCATGTAGAGATGCGAGCTTACAACTCACACCAGCCAACAGTGGATTGAAAATCCCTGTTAGAGGGGTCCCTGGGTGGCTCAGTTGGTTAGGCATCTGACTTGATTTTGACTCAGGTCATGATCTCACGGTTTGGGAGTTCGAGCCCCACGTTGGGCTCTGTGCTGACAGGGCAGAGCCTGCTTGGGATTCTCTGTCTCCCTCTGTCTTCTGCTCATGCTCACTCTCTCCCTCTCTCAAAAATAAATAAATAGGGGTGCCTGGGTGGCTCAGTCGGTTGAGCGTTTGACTTCAGCTCAGGTCATGATCTCCCATTTTGCGGGTTCGAGTGCCTCATCGGGCTCTGTGCTGACAGCTCAGAGCCTGGAGCTTGCTTCAGATTCTGTCTCCCTTGCTCTCTGCCCCTCCCCCACTCGTGCTCTGTCTCTCTCTGTCTCTCTCTGTCTCTCTCTCTCTCTCCCCCTCTCATGCGCGCACGTGCTCTCTCGCTCTCTCTCAAAAATAAATAAACATTTAAAAAAATAATAAGTAAATAAACATTAAAAAAATCCGCATTAGACCGTTTCCTTCCCTGACGTTGCCCTTTAACTGTCGGCAGGCCCCAGGCCCTTCTTTGTCTGGACACGGCTCCCTTCCCCTAGCACAAATCAACTCTGGCCACAAACCTGCAAAGCTCCTTCTCTATGAAGCAGAGCCTTGTGGTTAACAGGGGCTCAGTCACCTTGCAACAACACCCCAGCCTCTCTCCATCGGTACTTGAGGGCCCATCTCAGAGTCTTGCCTCATCCACATCTTGCTAATCAAATAATTCACTTAACCAGAGCAGTTCTCTCTCTTGTGGGGGTTCTGCTAATATTTTTCCCACGTCTTTCACCAGCAGATAGCACAGTTCTAAACTGTGCAGCAACAGTGACCCTAAGACGGCAGAGACCAGTCTTTCTCATCCTGGCATCTCCAGCAAGGGCATCCAGCGTGAGGCTGTGCGCACAGTAAACACTTCAGTACGTGTTTGTGGACTTGAAACATCAAACCCAGAAGGAGGTGTTAGCTGGGGCACTTAGTACCCGTTAGAGAAATCGGAATTCAAATGGATGGGATTAGCAGAGCAGGCCCACAGAGGCAGAGGAAAAGGGCGGGGGAGAGATGGGGTGAGATATGTAAAGGAAGGCTGAGGGCCTCGAGATCAGGGCAGAGGAGCAAGCACACAGGGGCAGGGTGGGGACAGAAAGACCGACAGAGTGATGTAATCTCACAGGTAGGGCCAGGTGAGAAGTGGATGTTGGCTTTACCTCCGTGCTCCCCCAGCATAACAAACCAAACTGGTAGATCTGGGTGGTGTGCTATTTTAGTGAAGGCCATTAACTCAATCAGAGGCTAGCCAGAAAACAGAACACGCGCTATTTTCCCGGAGGGAACATAATGTTCAGCAGTGGTTCTTAGAGTGGGGTCCCCAGACCAGGAGCCTTGTCTTACCTGGGAACTTGATAGAAAAGCAAATCCACACCCCAGACCTGCTCCTGTACCGGGAACTCTGGAGGGGGAGGGGTGTGCCCAGCAATGTGTTCAACAAGCCTCTCAGGTGATTCTGCTGCAAGCTCTTGGGGACCAGGGCCGTCAGGGACTGATTGCACAGGTGTCAGAGGACCAGCAGCACAGAAAGGAGCCCCTGGGGTAACTCCGAGACGGCGCTCTCAGAAAGCAGCCGCCATTCCCAGGGCTTAAAAATCTGAAGAACAGTCTGGAGTTACCAGAACCTAGCGGCTTGAGAGAGGCCGGGGAGCTTGGTCTCAGCCCTCTGAGGAGATGAGAGTGTCGCGGGACACCCGCAGCCGCTCTGGGAGGGTCGAGGGGCCTGGGAAGTCCCCCAGTGCTCTGTCCCGCTCGTGTCCCCTCCCCACAGCTGTCTGTTGACAGAGCATAACGGGAAGCAGCTGACAAGGCAGACTAGAGACGGGGGAGTCTTGACCCGGCATCACAAAGCAGAGAAAAGGCTCGTATGAAGCCCAGACACAGCAGCTTATTAACTGGCACAGCCATCTCGCACTCCAGCCTCTGAACGGAATTCAGAAGAGCAGCCCATTTGGAAGACAAATTATTTGACAGTTCTAACGGACAACCAAACTAACGGTATTTGAAAAGCGAGATGACTCCGAGAATGCAGCATTTAATCCAAGTCCCAGATCTTATCTCGGCCCCTGGCCAAGTCTGATGCGAAGAAAACCTGAGCACAGAAATATATGCGGGAACACACAGACCCTGCGCTTACATTATATCTTATTTATCTTTGAACTTGTTGCAAAAGCAGGCCCTCAATAAAGGTCTGTGGATGAGGGAAGGAAGAGACGGGGAGGAAGGGAAAGAAGGAGCTGGCTCCAGATCTGTCTCGCAGAAGGTAAAGGACAGGTGTTTTGCACATCGTCTGCTTTTTAAAGCCCCCAATCCGTATTTTTAAATAGCAAAACTTTCCATCACTTTTTAAAACAAAACACGTGTCAGGGTCAAATGGACTGATGGTTTGTGACCTTTGGGGGTAAACAGATCACTCTTGAATCGCAGACTACCTCATTCAGCTTCAATATACATACAGTAAGCAGAAGCCCCTGGAGTTTTGGAAATGCTTATCCGAAGTTATAATATTCATGGAGATCCCAGCTCTAAACCCTCATCGTGGAAGGATGGGGATTACGGTCTTATCACAAACACTCTAACTATGAGCCAACAGATAAACACACAAAGAGGGGACAGCCTGTGTTAGGAAGTCATTTTGTTCCCGTGTGAGTCACACTCCATTAAAAACCCCTCTGCTGGCCGGCAGTGGGGGGTGTGGGGAAGAGCAGCTCTTTTCCACTGAGTCTCCTTCCCTGTTTCTCTGCCCAGGCAGCCCTCCTCATAGTCAGCAGAGAAAATTTCTTCCTCCTCAGATCTCCTTTCTCTTCTTCTCCCACTCAGCCCTGGGTTCCCCAAGATGCCCCCTTTCCTCATACCGATATCATTTGGATCTGTCTACTCCCTTGCTGGATAGGGACCCAAGGCTTGGCATCCTGAGGCATGAAGATACAGGAGAAGGAAGCAGAAGAGGTCTTCCTTCCACACTGCTGGGGTAACGGAGCTATGAGCCTTTCCTCATATGTCCCAGTGCACATGCCAGACCCTGGAGACAGACA